TTTGCGCGCTACCTGTCTCACTCTTTTCCGGCCTCCAGCTTTTCCTGCTGGAGCCCGCCGCTTAAAGGTGGGGGGCGCGGACCGGCCATAGAGCCCATAGAGTTAAAGGTGTTGGCCGTTAGCTGTACAAATCCATAGATTAGCCGCACCGTTATATAAGCCGCAGCGTCGAAAAATGGGAAAAAAGGCTTATAGTCCGAAAATTACGGTACTTATTGAAAACAAGCTACAAAATGTAATACCTTGGAAAATGCCGTTTAATACTTTTTAATAGCATTCATTTTTGCTAAATTGATTTATCAACTTTTAATACTTTGTAAGACCCCGCGGACACCCTGAGCAAGTCACATGATCTCTAGGTAATCCAACACTGTGTTTCCACAAAGAGTGACTTTATATAACACTGATACATCACAACGAAACACCAACCTCATCGTAGGGGAAAAGGTCATCAAGCTTGAACTCTGTCCCGACGCGGCGGCGTACGGGAGGAGCCTTCTCGCCTGTTGCCAAGGGATACTCTTTGGGCAACTTGCCTGTTAACTCCTGCAGATTAGAAACAATAGAAATAGTCAGCTGAGTGGATTTTTCCGGGAGGTGCTGTAATGTTTGTTGGGGGTTTTCCTCGTCCTGTAGTTTGCTATATATGCGTGTATCATAATAAGAGACACTCACTGCTTCTCTCAAGCAGATCTTCTTCAGTTCCTCAAGTTTCTCTTTCAGCGTCTCTTGGAGGTTCTTCTGTTTATTTTTCAAATCGACAACCTTGTCTTTCTTCTGTTCATCTGTGACTTCAGAGTCAGCGGAACCTGGAACAAGCAACCGTCTCATTAACTAGAAATGATAGCAATCAATCATCACTCACCAGTATCACCCTGATGATGTGACATTAGCAGGTTCTGCTTACCGGCTGAGATGAGGCTCCCGTTGCTGGCCATAATGAGCTGGTTCTCTAAGCTGGAGAGTTTGATGATCCGCGGGGCGCAGATCTCCGTGAGGTCCATGGCGATGTCTCCTGAACTCCGGGTTGTGGTCATCTGTGACTGTAGGGGAAGAGGAGGGACAGTTAGCAGGAGGAAAGAGGGATGTGGAGCAGCAGCAGCAGCGAGGGAGGGATTGGGAGTACTTCATTTTAATGATAGCACGATGCAAAAAGCGAGCTGCTCCATTTGCATGCTGGGTACTCAAAGCCCGTTGCTCTCTCATCAATCAGTGTGGGCTCTATTCCTGGATGACACACCATCTGCCTTCGAGAGACACAGTGGCTGAATAACCTCATTTGACTGCGGCAGCACACTCATCCATCTCCAGCAGGAAGAGCTCATCACACAGCGCTCATACTGTATAATAGCTGCTCAGTAAATGCTTCATAAACACAAACACATGGACCACCAGCCTCTTCAGCCGGCTCTTAACACTCGGACCGGGATCTAGGCTGTGGACAAACTGCAGGCTTTGTTATGCATTATTAATGTTCGGGCTTTTAAAAAATAGTATGTTGTTTCTTTAGTGAATTGTATTTTGCTTTAAGCCTTAGATGATTTCTCTTAGGCTACATACAAGGCGTAATAATAGGGGATGAACAATGGATTGGAATTCTATTAAAATTGCAGATTAGTGCAATATCCAAATCGAGGAGCCGCAGTATTAATAAAGAAAAAATATATATAACACAACGACAATAATGTCAAACCAAAAGTATATTAACTAAATAAATCAAACCATGATTTTTCAATGGAAATTGTAATTTCCAAGCAATAATGTGATCATGAATCACATAATTTTCTAAAATAAAAACAATATTAAAGGTAGGGTGGGTAAGAATGGAAAAACCAGCTCGAGTGTGCTAAAATTTGAAAATACACAACCGAAAAAAATCTGCCCCTTCCTTCAGACTTCCTTACAGAGCCCCTCCTCCAACACACACGAACGCGCAGATGACCAATGAGGGCACGAGATAAGTTTGTGCACAGATGGAAGGCTGACAGGCAGGTAGGCCATCCAGTTATTTTAGCCGGGCCGGCTCAGATGATTGGTCGTGCTTTTTACAGATGACATGTTTTTATGCATTTATCGTCAAAGCATTTAATTTATTCATTGCTATCGGGATGTTAAGAGCATTCCATGGAATATAACAACAAGTGTTTCTGAAGTTGATTACCTACCCCACCTTTAAGAACAATAGGCACACCAAGTTCAACTATATTATTCTCCCTGTTCTATTAGCATAGGGATCAAAGTATTTATTACTCAGAGGAGTTACAAGCTCTCAACTTAATCTACCAATCATTTAATCTACCAAACACAAGCTCAATCAATAACAGTGATTCTATTCATGTTAAACTAATGAAGCAACAGTTTCCAACACATCCCTTAGTAACACAGGATCTATTTACATTAAACTGGTGGCCTGTCACTTCCCATCATCACGCTGTTGACACAAGTCACAAGCATAGGACCCGGATCAGGCAGTCGATCACATGATGAACAGTCACCAGCACACCATGCTGCCACACTTTCACAATAACCTCATGAGCTTCAATCAGTCCATAGTCACACTGAGAGAATGAGGTGATGAGTGTGTTTCAATGTGTGTGAAAAACAGCTCAACAATATAGCTCGTACGTACATCATAATAAAGGTAATCACTCGAAATGAAGTTCATGATAGTGTCATTACTTGTAAACTATACAGAGAGGAACACAAGCACACTGTGTCTATCAGCCAATCAATACACTCAGCGTCAATGCGTGACCTCCTTAAAACATCTTATATAAATTGTAAAGTATAATGTGCACATTTGTATCTAATATTCCTATGTTTAAACAACAGCTTTTAATATTGGACATTTGACTTTGACTTCCTACGTACTCTCCATGTTCAATTATTGATTTATTTTCATTCCAAAATGGAGCAACTGTCAGAAAACAAAATGTTCGCCGCGGGATAAGAAAGTATTCCGATTGTAAATAAAAATATGATTAACACACAGACACATGTCCCTGGTCTGTCACCAATGTGAGTCACTTTGTATGATATAAGTTAAGATGTCTTAGATTAGAAGGTATTATTAGATTTCAAACTGAATCAGAGTCAGCAGGAACTATGGTGAGTGAAAGTGTGAGGAGAAAACAACAGACACTCACTTTGCTTTGCTTTCTGTCCAGGTAGAACTGGTGCTGACTGATGGCCATCACCCAGATGGTTTTAATCAGAGAATGGCTGGCATACCACGTGTGAATAACCAGACCGGTCTGTCCGAACGTTCGCTTGGTCACTGTCCTTCTGAGAAAGATAGCAACAACATAACAAACGTTCAGTGCTGCTCTGAGACACAAAACAGCTGCAGACACTGGCTGATAAACAAGTCTTTAATTAAGATGGGTTAAGCAAAGATAACACAGTTTGTCTAATTCAATGTGTGGCTGTTTCTGTAATAATTAACTGAAGAGCAGACAGTGGGTTTTAATAACAGCTCTGGCGGCTGAGAGAGAGACACATGGAAGCCTGTGTGAAGGGCAGAGGTCTTACAACAGCATTAGAATAATAAAGCGGCAAGAAAACAGTAATTGAACAGAGCAGCTCCAGCCATTAACGCTGTGTCCCGATTGGCCCGCTGGCTGTGGATGCCCTTCACAGTGTGTAAGGTGTCAGATAAGGACATCTGAAGCCAGCTCAAATCGGAGCACTTCAGACAAACAGGGGGAAAGGACTTACTAAGATCAGTTAAGATAGATGAAACCTTTCTCTGACCTGTGCGGGTCGTTCACTTCCACAGCAAATTTCTTCTCGCGGAAATACAGATTCTCTAACTGCTTCCACTGATACAACTGCAGAGAGACAGTTGGGAATAAAGGGGGGGGGGGGAGGGGAGGGAGACATGACAGATCCGTGAGTATACACAACACAGGGCTATTGATTAAAATGAGGCGTTGCTCGACATTAACAAACTTGGCTGTAAAGCGCAACAATGCAATCAGAAAGGCTTCCCAAATGAGTGGTATACATTTTGCTTCAGCCACAGCAGCACGCCGTTCAGCACCATTTTTCTGCTTAACTTGCAACATTAGAAGAAACAACTAAAGCAGTGAATGGGGCTCAGCGGGCCAGCCGGTCCCGTGTGAGGTAGTCAAACTGAGCCAGGCAGCAAGCTATACTAGTTTCTCATTTCCTTCTGCTGTGGAGGGAAAACAGAGGAAGGGCTTCTGTGTGTCAGGATGAAACATCTGCTCCACTGATAGTGTGTTCAATAAACTCATTCTGAGCCAGTAAACAACTCTTCACTGCTCAAATGTAGGCAACAAGAAGAGACACAACAGTGAGGTTAATGTAGGAGAAAATGTTTGTTTGACCGTACTCCATTCTTAAAAAGGTAAGAACTTAAATTACTTCTTTAAAAAACCTCAATATATAAAATCGGACCCAGGAGGTGAACTGTGCCTGGGGTAAGAAATGACGATAAGCAGAGAGAGCATATTTTCAAAGCATGTTTCAACTTGGCACCAACTGTAACACATTACACTTCCCTGCAGTGTGGCTCACAGTGACAGACTGCCTGGAGAGCAGGTTCAACACATTTAGGAGAACGTTAAAAAAGGAGCACAAGGAGAATAAAAACATTCAAACCCCTTGACTATTTCAAACAGCTAGTAGTTGGACACAATAAAAAGGCTTACCGTGGTTTTTTGGTTTTTAAATCCCTGCTGGATTCCCTCCGGTTTGTATTGAATCTTTAGAGTTTCCCACAGGGCTAGTCCTTCCTCGAACAATACTCTCTCTTGTCTGTTCTCAGGGAGCCAGATAGGTGTTGCAAGAGTTTCAGCTGAGCAGGCCACGCCCCTTAACCACCCCCTCTCCTCTGACATCACAGATACCTCAGGCACTGCTCTCTCTCTCTCTCTCTCTCTCTCTCTCTCTCTCTCTCTGTGTGTCCCTCTCCAAACACAGCCCACTTCCCTTTGAGTCAGACCAGATGAGCAGGTTGTTCACAAGCTTTTGCCAGCCCAGGTTTTAGAAGATTTCTCTGCTCCACTTCCCGTCACATGCAGATAAGCGATCAATCTTCCACAGACTTTGAATGCTCTCACTTCCATAGAGGAAGTTCCTTGCTTTTCATATTGTAAGTGGCACACAAAGCACTGCTGTGGGGCTGAATTAACTACTACCATGTCCCCCAGCAGGGCCAACATGTTAGGAATCTGTTACTATGGTCTAATCATTAATACCAGGGGTGCACTCAACTGCCCATACATGCACTTTGCTCCAAATACAAACTCATATTTAAAAAGGCAGTATAAGCAAAACAGCCTTATTGTGTGCGTGATATCCGAAAGCAGAACGTGTATGAGAGAAAAAAGGAGAAAATAAGGTATTTAGTATATAACATGAAAGTGATGACAGTGTTTCCCACAGAATTTGATTCTATTTGTGGGGGCACCGCACCCGGCAAGAAAAGCCAAAGGCCCCTTAACCTATTCGGGGGGCCCACGCATCC